TCAGGAACCTCCCATTTCAATATCTTACACTAGTTCTGGGACACCCTGTATAGTCGTTTATAAGTCGAAAAGAAAGATATATGGACATATGTATGTTCATATGATTATTTTTTACTCGTTTTCATATTTAGATGTACCCATTGAAGTATTGACATGTATTTATTTATGAAACACACCATACAATACATGTGACACAATAGAAGAACGATCTGGTAGAAGTAGAAGGGGAGCCAAACTCCAGAATAACTCCTCGCTAATAATTTTGGATTAGAGTTTATAAATAACGACATTACAGAAATAAGATCCCAGCCGAGCGTACTTGGCAAACGAAACTAATTTGGAAGTGGCAGATTCTACACGCTTACCGAAAATAACTAGCAGAACTCAATTAATTAGTTGATTCTCAGAGCAGGGAATTGTTTATTCTTTTTTTTTTATTCGATAGGTGTTAAGATGAGAGAGACCGTAAAGAGTGTGAAAACGTTTTTGAGGAGATCTTAATTGAAGAGGAAAACCTTTGGCCGGTGGGGGTGATCGATGGCCGATAATATAGTGGTTTCAATAGAACCGCGACAGGGTTTGATTAATACCGCACGTTTCCAGAAGCTTGCCTCAAATGGATTTTCAATATGGGCGTCCTATGCTGCACCGCGTCACCAGGAAATATTTTCGATTTAATTAAGTCGCTGATATTCGATCCTTCTTATTATTCCATTTCGATACATATTTTAATCATTTTCTGCAGGACACATTATTTGGCCAGCGTTGAAATGCTTTGCTGTAATAATATAAGTCATGTAATGTAATTGCTGAAACACCATTTATATTCCACGAAGATAATGCTGCAGTACATACTGCTAAAGTTGTTAAAGAACACTTTTTAAATAAAAATATTTCCACTCCTCAATGGCCAGCCTGCTTACTCGACCTTAATAGCATCGAAAATTGGTGGGCAATGCTTTCGCAAGCAGTGTATGGTGGAGATCGACAATTTTCAAATATAAATGAATTAAAACTTGCAATACAACTGAATGGGAAAATTTAGCTCAGGCAAAAATTAAAGAACTATATAATTCTTTACCTAAAATGATGATGGAAGTCATAGAAAACAAAAGAGGATCACATTATTAAAAAAATATAGTTTGGTGCATATATTGTTATAAGAAATATATATATGTATTTTTGTTTCATGAATCATATAGTTCTTTTGCATGAAATATATGTATATCCTTATTTTTCAAGTGTGCTATCATTTTGTCTGCGTCAAATTATGTTTAATTATGTTAAATTATTATTTCTCTTTCAACTAAGAGAAGTCATGGAACTGAAGTCAACGTATGTTATTTTTACATATTCGTAGAACGTTTTCCATATTACACAGAGTTTCCACATTAGCATAATCGTAACACGAGAATTTAAAGATAGCACACGCGTTCTATCTTTTTGTCTAGGAGTGTAGTTCCTTTTGTTTTCGCGAACGAAATTTAAAAGTTAAAAAAGATTACCGACCAACTAGAACAAAGAAAAGAAAGCAATTAGTTGTTTGTTATGTTCACTGAATAGATGCAACATATTCAATGAGATAACTAGCAACTTTATAAATTACACAGTAGGTAAAGCATAAAAAATGGGAAAAGAATTAGATTTGAAATTAGTCGTTCGTCTTTAAATTCACCTGCTCCTAAAAGAATTTCAGTAGGTCAATGTGCCGAAGCCTGACACTCGAAACTAAAACACATGGCCATATCTGTCAGTGACCTGCTCTAAACATCACTGCTGCCCATGTGTTTTATCTTCAAGTACTGGGTTTCGGCACATTGACCCTGTGACGTTCTACTAGGAACAAGTGAACTCAAAAACGAAAGTTCAACTCTAATTCTCTTCCCATTTTTTTATAATTCTAGCTACACTGTAATTTATAAAGTTGTTAGTTATTTCATTGAGTATGTTACATTTATTGAGCGAACGTAACT